ATTTGTTGTCGGAAGACAGAAACAGAAAATGTTGCTATACTGAACGACCGATATTTTGACCATTAATTATAATTAATTATAATTAATACTAATTAATTATAATCAATTACACCAATGTTACACGATATTGATGGGTAATTGACGCAATATGTCTATTTTAAAATTTTACTCTATTTATGCTAATCGACCGTCGAGATCAATGGTGCATAACTGTGTGCACTCAAAGAAATTTCACTTAAATTATAATTTTATTGAAAAGGAAAAGCTGACTCTCGTCAAAGTATATACCTCTTATTTTTATCACGACGCTTACGGGAAGTGCTCGATTCCGGCCCTAGCTACTGGAAGATTGACCTGTGATGCAAAAGCCAGATTGGCTAGAAGTAAAAATCATTTTCCTCTCAGTTTACTCCATGATGATGGATATTCATCTCATTTTCAAATAAACGCTTGCTAGCAGCATAAAAGCAGCATAAAAGAAACACTATCGTGTTTCTTCTATGGTCCTAGCACCCCTACAGAGTGGTGACCGTACTAACGGCAATGTGAGGACAATGCCTGAACTTGTTTACCAGTCCTCGTGCCACAAAGAGTGTAGGCTTGATTCGATTCTATATGCAAACTGGAAAGGCCAAGCGGTACGTTAATGGTTCCTGAGTCTTTTTGGCCATACTTGATTCCCTTGAGACTCCTGCTGAGACGGTAGCGAAACAGTTGGTCAAAAAAAAAGCATAATAACCACTCGTACGAATATCTATTTTTTATCATAAGTACACGACCCGAGCGCGACCCACCTATCACATTGCATTAAAATAGCGTCAATGGGATACTACTACTGATCTCACCATACCAATCCAACCTACAAAAGTCCTACAGCGTTCCAACGAATGGGCATCATTTAAGCTTTGATGATTACAAATACACTTCTTGGTGGCGTAACACGCAAAATCACGGTACTGATCGTTCCATATGAAACCTTATAACTTCTTGTAACGGCCATAGTTTCTGGAACGGAAATTTTTACTAAAATACGCTACTCTGGTTGAATACGTAAGGCAACCGGAAATATAACTATTTATTTAAAGGTTCCCAGAGCAATAACCTACAAAATTATCTACTTACGCTAATCAGAGGCCCGCACCGGCGCGATGCTGGTAAAAGCAGTCAATCTGATTCTATAAGAGCTGATCTGTGCGAATTGCTAAAGTCCGTCGTCACCGATGCTTCTTTCCCTCTTCCTCCCGCTAAGGGTACATCGCCCGTGGCGTGTGCAATAAATGTCTTTGTTCCTCTATCTTTGGCTCTATCTATCCTTCACCGGCCTACGCTTCCTTGCATTTCCTGGTGCGGAAAAACGTCCATCTACTAGTGATGGCACTACTCTTTATAGGAGTGGCCGAAGCGGCGCTCTCTGTGTACCATCAGGTTAACAGGCAAGCGGCCCGACAACCCATGTCGATTGCCACTGCCGTCAAAATATATTTAGCATTACCTACGGAGTCTGCTGGAATTTTACCAGACCCCGTATCACTAACTTCCATCATCACCATTGCCCCGGGAAACTCTATAGTATCTAGTGGCTATTGCGTTCTATAGTTGCATTATTACCGTCCTAGTGGCTCTGTCAGTTTCTTCAAAGGCGAGGCCTCGTGACATCCATTGAGGGCACACTACGAAACTGCTGGCGTACCACGTCTTAAAACAGTCAGTAAGCCAAATCGCGTAAGCTAATCTAACGGTACCAATAGTCAGCCCTCCGCTTCCGCGTAGCGTTTCTCCGTTTAGCCAGCATCGGTCTGTCGAATAACGGACTTGCGTCCTTGTTTGTTTGTGTGTGTCTGCGTCTCTGTCTCTCTCTGTCTGTGTGTCTGTCTCTCTGTCTGTGTCTCTCTATCTGTGTGTCTGTCTCTCTGTTTGTCTTGTGTGTGTGTGTGTGTGTGTGTGTGTGCGCGAGCGTCTGCATATGATGTGTGTGTGCGCGAGCGTCTGCATATGATGTGTGTGTGCGCGTTCGTCTGCATATGATGTGTGTGTGCGCGTTCGTCTGCATATGATGTGTGTGTGCGCGTGCGTCTGCGTATGATGTGTGTGCATGCGTGCCTGTGTGTGTGAGCGTGTGCCTGTATGAGCGTGTGCCTCTTTGCCTGTGTG